ATCAAAATGAACAAGTCTGAAGTTAGTATGGTGGCACAACCGTAGAAAATAGGACGTGCGGATTCAGACTAATATAGAGCATGTCGAGAGAACAGTGAAACTCAGGAGTAGCTTCTTTTTCTTTGTCAGGTGTTCGTTCAAAAATCTTAGGAGCGATATTATTTCGGACATGACATCCTTCACGAACACCAGAAAGCATATCGGACGATAATACCTTCATTGATCACTATATAAGATTTTTGTTCTTAGCAACAATAATTATCCCTGGAAAAGGGCTCTCAATAGGTCCGAAAGTGGCATCAATCTTATTATATCCTACACCACCATAGTGGGGGTTATTATTCTTTTGTGCTGATGTTTATAAACCCACCTTAAAGTATACCGATGGACTAAGAATCACTTTCTGAATCGATTAAGACATGATCGCCTATCTCACCGTCTGGCTGGCTGTTTTGTAAACCTTGTGTGCAAGGTAAGGTCCTCAATTTTCAAGATACATATTTTGATTAAATATGGATCATACGTGGTTAAAATCGGTCCATTATTTCACTTAGCTCACATACAAACCGGACCCTCGCATTCGAGGACTACGACAAATATACTAGTATCGCATAAGAAATCGGTGCAACTTTGTTTTATAAAGGCATAAATGACATTGCCGTTTTTTGTACTGATCGGTCCTCAATAAACCCTAACCCCTATACCAACTCCCGTTTAATGCCTTATATAAAACTAAAATCCTCCTCCAAATCAGCCCATATTTGAGCCCAACTCCTTTTTTATAAAATAAGTTTTTCATCAATAATTTCTTTAGATAAAACCAAAAAACTCACCTCAAATAGATCCCATTTCCAAAATTCCTCCTTTTTCTTTTCGATATATTTCGCCTTACACCCAAATTCATAGCGAACAATAAATGCAATCCTTAATATTCACCACATCTATTGAACCATTCCTAAATGTCACCTCTATATGAGTGTGTTGTGAGTGAGATTCCTTCTCATTGAGAGTACAATTCTGATGAACATCATCGTAGTGCATTTTGGGTGGGCAACAGAATGTTATGCATGGTTTCAGCAGACAGGCACAACCTCTTATATGCCTCGGAGCATCATATTCTATGCCATCGATAACTTTGTAAGTGTATTCTGCCGTCAGATTGGACGGTATGACTAGACCCTCAAATGAATAAGAGCCGTCTTTTAAGCGCAAACCATCGGTTATGTTAACGGTTTGCGCATAAGAGCAGGGATAAGAGCGGGCAGTGACTGAGGTGGGCAAATGCTGTATAAACAAAACAAATGCAAATAACAATGACAATAACCAAAGCTGATCTAATGATGAAGATGACGATGTTGAATGTTTAATCATCGCTGTGGAATTGAAGAAAAAAATAATATATAGAGTTTAAAATAGAAATCGCGCAAAGAAGTAAAGAGAGTGAGAGAAGGTAATATACATTTGTAGATCAGGTAGTAAGAATAAACAAACATTTTATTCATATTTTTATACCCACCATCAAAAAAGATGGGGGGTATATTGATTTTGTCATTCCGTTTGTAACACATGGAAATATTGGTCATAGACCCACAAAAGTATATATATTCTGGGTCCTCATTAAATTCTAAGACGATCTAGCCATGTCTGTCCGTCCGTCTGTCTGTCTGTCTGTTGAAATCACGATAGAGTCCCAATGGAAAGAGCTAGAGGGTTGAAATTTCACATAAATATTTCTTACAGATAAGTTTTGTTTAGTATTGAAAATGGGCAATATCGGTCCACGTTTTCTGATGGCCATTCGAAAAGCAGCTTTAACAGCCATAACTTGTTTAAAAATACGAATATAGCGATATAATTCGACATAAGTAAGTTTCTTATGATCCAAAATCACTATGCAAAATTTTATGAGGATCGGTCCATAATTGACCCTACCCCCTATATAAGGTCCCCTTCAGAAAATGACTTTAACGCTCATTACTGGCTTAAAAATACTAGTATATAGATGAAATTCGACATAAGTAAGTTTCATACGAGTCAAAATCTATCTAAAAAATTTTATGAGAATCGGTCCATGATTGACCCTATCCCCCATATAAGGTCCCATTTAGAAAATGACTGCAACGCTCATTAATGGCTTAAAAATACGAGTGTAGCGATGAAATTCGACACAAATAAATTTAATACGAACCAAATTCTGTCTACCAAATTTTATGAGGATCGACCCATAATTGACCCTATCCCCCTATATAAGGTCCCCTTCAGAAAATTACTTTAACGCTTATAACTGGCCTAAAAAATACGAGTATATAGATGAAATTCGACATAAGTAAGTTTCATTCGAGTCAAACGATGTTTGATGCTGGGTATATAAGATTCGGCATAGCCGCATATAACACTCTTACTTGTTAATATTAAATGAAAGTTTTGTTAAATATAAAAATGTGCTCTCTTAAAGAGTGAGAGAGTGAGTCCAAATAAATGAAACAAATCAAATACATTTACTTACCGATCAATCAAATAGCCAAGTTTATTAAGTTTGTTATTATTATTATTTTTCTAATAATTTTATTTTTCTATTAAAATATAATTTTCGCTTTTTAAGATTTTTATTAAATTTAAATGATTTTAACACCTCGCAAATTTACGTGGATTTTTTTGAATATCGTGCCAGCAAATATTTATTTAAAACGTTTTTTTTTTACTTATTTTATTTAGATTATTAAAAATTTAGTTTAAACATTGTTGTTGGCCACCATAGCTGTTGTTATTGTTAATTCAACTACCACATGATCATTGACCATAGATCATAGAGCAATCACCGTTTTGTTTTTTTGTTATTTTAGTTTATTTATTATTTGGTCATTATTTTAACTTTGTGTTGTTGTGCATCATTGAATGTGTTTTATATCTTTAATTTGGTCATAAAACATTCTCCAAGTTTGTTGAATTTGTTCTTAATTCTATTTATGTTTCTTTTTTTTTTTAAATTTGTTTATTTCTTTTTATATATATTTAGTCAGATACTCTATGTATATGGTTTTTTTATTAACTTAGTTGCACACTAATGATCGATCGTCATAGGTCTCAGTTGTGGAGAAACGCGTATAAGACGTCTTGTTTGTGCCAACGTTAAATAGAAACTGTTTGTGGTCTCTCAGTGTTTAGACACCTTTTACCCACTGAGGAATGAGTACTTACTAGTCATACATAGATAATGTTCGTTTGTGTGTTTCTGTCTCTAGAAAACATTTGTTTTTTCTAATTGTTAGAAAAGTTTAGCTGTGAAGCTTTTTTTATCTTGGTCTAGTGTGAGGGTAAATGCTTAGCAAAGTTCAAAACCCTAGAGATGGTAGTAAAAGCTGATTTTATATGTTCTATAAAGCGTTAAATTTAAAAGTTTTTCGATGTATTGGCCACTTTTTTTCAATCTTATTCAGAACTTCCGTCTAGTTTTTTATCAACATTTGATTGTTAGTTCAACAATTTTACATTTCAAAATTGCCCAGGAGCTCTACTGTGGCGGCCGCTGTGCTTAAACATGAAATATTAAAGTAAAATGGACCGAGCAAAAAAGGTCCGTTTTTTGCCGATAATATTAAATTTTCTCGAGCCTGCCGTATATTTTGTTTGAAATAAAAAACAGATTGCAATGAACAATTTATGAGATTAGAGATCTTAATTATTGGATTGACAATTTTTGGGGTTTCAAGTCCACTTTAAAGAAATAAAAAACAGATTGCAATGAACAATTTAAGAGATTAGAGATCTTAATTATTGGATTGACAATTTTTGGGGTTTCAAGTCCACTTTAAAGAGTAACACTAATAAATTTATGTTTAACGATTAAACATGGCAATGACTTGTACCTACCGAAAAACTTACTTTTCAATGATTACTACATAATGTCTGTATTACTTAGAAGGAGTCTAGTAATGACTTACAAATAACTATATACATAAGTTAGTACTTAGTTTCTATACCCACCATAAAGTATACCAATCGGTATCGTCATGGACGGACGGACAGACGGATGGACGGACATATCTAAATCGACTCGAAAATGATTCTAAGTCCATTGGTATTCTTTAAGGTGGGTACAGCAACAATATTATTGTACGTTACAAACATCAGCATAAACCCAATATATCCTCCCCACTAAAGTGGTGTAGGGTATAAAAAATTTCAAAAGGTATAGCATAAAAATAAGTTTTCATTAAAAAACAAGTAGAAAAGTATAGTGGGGCATGGCCGACCATATGATACCCTACACCACTGAGTATGTTAAAAATGTGGATTATATTTAATAACAAAGTTGTTTATCTTAATTCCGAAATATTTTAGCAATTTGTTGAAAAAAGTGATTTTCTGTAAGAGAGGTTATATGGGGGCAAGGGTAAATATGGGTCTATCCTTAGAAATTTTGCTACATGGCTTTACGTTTACATTAGAGTTATGTATGCTGAATTTCATCGTGATACTAGTGTTTATTAGTGAATTATTGACCTTCAAGTCATTTTCTGAAGGGGACTTTGTATGGGGGCTAGGGTCAAATTAAGTCCGATAATTATGAAAATTGGTAGTATTATTAAGACGTAATAGAACTAAGTTTTGCCGATTTTTGTAGAGATATTTAACATAATTATGAACTCAAAAGCCCTTTCCGGGGGGTATGGTTGTATGGAGGCTAGCTGAAATAATGGACCGATTTCAACCATTTTCAATAGGCTTCGTTGAAAAACACGTATGGTCCAAATTTCATCAAAATATCTTGAAAATTGCGACCTGTACTGTGCGCACAAGGTTCACATGGACAGCCAGCCAGCCGGATGGACAGTGATTCCGAGTCGATCGGTATACTTCAAGGTGAGTGCAGAACCAATATTTTTGTGCGTTACAAACATCAGCACAAACGTATAATACCCACCCCACTATGGTGGTGTAGGGTATAAAAACTACACAGTTTTTAAATAGTTTATTTGGTGTGGAACATTAAACAACAATTCAAATTCATACTTAAGTTCTTTGGTTTTATTTACAACAATATTTTTTTTAAATATACTATATTTTTTGTGGAAAATATACAAATATTTAAACATTATTAAAGCGACTAAAATTAAAGCTTAAAATTTATTAAAAAATAAAAAAAAAGAAACAACTAAAATAAAGTTAGAACTAAAGTTAATAGATACAAAATAATAATAAAAATTAAAAAGTTTTATACGATGAGTACATATTGAATATTGAGAATCTATTTATTCCCTTAATAAGGAATTATGATTTTTTTTTTTCAAATAAAACTTTGTCTTAATTGAAAGTAAATAAAAATTTTTCTAACTTGAGGAATGATAATTAGAAGACAATTAACAAATCATTCTTTTAAGTAACAAAACTAAAAAAAATCGCTATAGAGAGAAAAAAAAAGCTTTGATACTCTCACTAATGAATATCCTTATAGTTTTTGTCTTTTTCTTTTTGTTTCAATCATTCTTAGCATAATTTTTATGGTAAAACGACTTAGATAAACATTCGATATACACTTTTCTTTTAAATATATAGTTTATATATTAATTTAAATAAAATTTAAGAAATATATTCATAGACCACTTAAGACTGTAGTACTTTCGAGAGGTTTGATCAGGGGTTTATCTGCTGAAATTTTTGAATTCGGCAATGCTATACTTCCCACACTGCTGCAAGTGGTTTTAGTGGAGGAATGACTTTGGCGCTGATTACTGCTATCACGTACCGAATATCTAAAGGGGAAGAATAATGGAGTAAAAAGAAAAAGTTGGGTATTAAAACGGTGTTTAGAGTTCAAGTATAAAACACACAGATTATAAAAAACATGCAAAAGTAATTAAGTTAAAATAACACAAATTTTGGTTAGAATACAATTTTATTACACTAGCTAAATAGTTATGTTTCAGACAAGAGAAATTCACAGTTATCACGCCAAAAGTAATCTTTAGAAATTTAGCAAACTGTGAATCCCCTTATTCGAAATGTTTGGGTTACTTACAATATGTTAAGAAAAATTATTATTAGTTTTTTTTCAAGAGGGTGCTTTTTTGTTTGTAAATGATTGGTGTCTTAAATATTTAGAACCAGTTCCCATTCCTTAAAAAACGTTTATTTTTACCTTTTATGAATCGTTTTAAAATCTTAATTTCTCTTTCATGGGCAAGGTATCAACTTTAGTTTTTTGCGTCGTCATAGAGGAATTTATGGAATTTGTAGAATTTGTTGAGTTGGTTTGACTTGTTCCATTACTTTTCGACGTTTTGAACATTCTTATGAAGATATTTAGATAATATGAAAGACTTTTAGAGAATAAGTATTAGTACATAGAGATCAGTATTAGGCCAGGAAATGTTAAGCATTAAGTTTAGAAGACTATTAGTTTTGATTGTGTTAAATGCAAGGCATTAGTAAGAATTTTATTGTAATTATTTCGATTTTAGTTTGGGATTATATTGTGGATTTTATGGCTTAATAAATTTCTGATTAGTTCTTCGTACAGAGACATTATTTAAAATTTAAGTTCGCGTTAGTTATTTTGAAATATTAAGCGGGAATATGAATGCGTAATTGATCATATAAGAAAACCCGGATAAAATCTATCAGTCCACTTTCTTATGCTACCAATTAAAAGCTTTAGCTTACTGATCCATTAATATATTTATTTTTCTTCGACAAAGACAACATCTATAGTCGAATTCAAACTTAGTTTTAAGATCCACCAATTAATTGTCTTGCTCTTGCAAGAAATTTAAATTGACAAACCTATTTCATATTATGATGATCGTACTGGGCCTTCAAATATGTTATGGTATAGGGGCTTAAGCATTTTAAAGTACTGTCTAAGAAGGACTCTCCTCCTAACTTCTGGTGCCTCTGGCATAAGGATATATATTAGTATTTTTTACTTCTTCTATTGCCTAGCTGTGCTTAAGACCCCAACTCTGATATAACCATTATATCGATCTGATACTGTGGTAATATTGGTATTTCTTGAATATAACAATCACTTACTAATGGCTTGAATTTGTACCATTAAGAAAGGATTATGGTTAGACGAGGAAAGAACTGAATAATTTCGGAGACCCAAAATCGTATAATGATATATTTAGGACGGACAAATAAAGAACATAATGAGCTAGAGGCCCGGCATGCTTCCAGTGCTCTTTACAATTTATCAAATCGTTAGAATCGTGGATATATACAGCATGTTTACTGAAAAATAAAGAACAGAATGGCAAGCTTCCAGTACTCTTTACGCTTGATCGGATCGTTTGTGAGTCTATTTATCATGCATGCTAGGGTTCTATAAATCGACTTTCGAATAATCGAACAATAGGCTTTTTGTCAAAAAGTCGAAGTCGAATATTTTGTTCCAAAAAAGTCGATAACTCGACTATCGTCTGTGAAAAAAGTCTACTTTGTAAATAAAAGTCAAAAAAAGTTGAAAAGTCGGGTAGTTGTAAAAAGTCGAAAAAAGTCAAAATGTCGAATAAAGTCGAAAAAAGTCGAAAAGTCGGAAAAAGTAAAAAAAAAGTCGGAAAAAGTCGAAAAGTCGGAAAAAGTAGAAAAAAGTCAAAATAGTCGAAAATTTTAAAAAAGTGGAAAAAATGTCAAAAACTCTAAAATAGTCGGAAAAACTCGAAAAAAGTAAAAAATAGTCGAAAAAAATCGAATAGTCGAAAAGCCGAAAAAAGTCGAAAAGAGTCGAAAAAAGTCGAAAAGTCGACTATGTATTTATAAAATACTTAAAATCGAAAAGTCTAAAAGTCGACTTTTAATTAAATGAAAAAAGTCGAAAAATCGTAAAATGCAAAAAGTCGACTTTTAGCTAAATGCAAAAAGTCGAAAAGTCCACTTTTCGTTTCAACTATAGAACTCTAAAGCTTGCTAACAGATATAACGTTTTAAAGGTAAACACATTCAGATACTACTATAGCGGTGATCGGGACAATCCAATAAAGAAAGGAACGAACCAGAAGCTCCCAGCAAAGCATATCGTTAGATTCGTGGATCTATTTAGTACGCTTATTTCCAATAAAAAAAAAAAACTCAAACATATTCTGAATACCACTGTTGTGGAGATCGGGGCAGAACATAATCATTATTTAATTAACAATGTGATGTTAGGAATTTTCTTTAAATTAAGGATCAGCGATGGCTTCCAAAGATCCCGAAACCCGAACTATTATAAAAAGCCAAAAGTCAGCACGAGTAAAAAATTTTTAAAAACACTTCGGTACTTAATAAGTTGAAAAATCATTGGCAGCCACCAAGAACCCAAATCAAAAAGTTTGTAAGCCCCATTATTTATTAAAAACAATGCAATTGGTACCACATAATGGATCCATTACGGAAAACCGAAGTGTAATTTATCGTATGAAAAATCTTGCCAACCAGCCAAAGCCGAATATCCATGGAGCTAAGGAAGGAAGTAGGAACCAAAGGGTTCCATCTATTACGAATACAATTTATTCGTTTGAATTGTGTATTGGTGAAAAAATTCCCGAAATATGTGACCAGACATAAAATAATGAAATAATCCATTAAAAACTATTTAGAAATGGAAAGTTTAGTTTCAACCGAATTACAGTACAGACTTAATTTCATCTGAGTACCTATATATCTCGATTTATACAGAACGCTCTTGCTAGAATAGACTTCAGAACAGGTTATACATAATTGGCTTGATTTATTATTGGCCTCAACTTTCACTTTATACCTGCTGATTTCCCAATTTTTTGTTTCTAAATAGCTTATTCCGAAATTTTCAATCTAAAGAGATTTTTTATGAAATTTCTCAGTATTAGTTTGTCATTAATATTACAACATTTTCATACAACATTGCTTTTTATTACAACATTTAAAATTCCTATTCTCCTAAATACTCTTTCTTACTTTACGAAATGCGAAGCTCGAAAAAATATCATACACGTTCTTTAACCCTCATGCCTATGAGCATTTTGATTATTCGTAAAAGCCGAACGTATAATAATCATTTGTCTAATTTGTAAAGAGACGTCGAGAAAACGACGTCTTACCGCTGTATTGCCCAGTGTAGTGCTATTTGTATTACGATAACTACGAGAGCTACATGTTCTATAAAAGTTTTCAATATAAAATGATAATTTTTTATATAAAATTGAAAATTTTTTATGAAATAAAAAATATATAGGACGGCACAATCGGAAAAAAACTTTTCTTAAAACTCACCTATTAGTAATCAATTGTTTAACCTTCTTTTTCATGACAAACAACATGAAAATCAAAAAACCTTGTATGGCATTACAAATATCAGCCACATAAAAGATTTTCGACCAGGGCTTGTCAACGCCCACAAAATATGAGACGATTTCCAAAGACCAAGTAACACCCATGACCAAAAATAAACGTAAAAATAAACCGAATCTGAAAAGTTTGTCAGATAAAATTAAGAGATTTTTTAATAAAATTTTAAGTTTACAAATATACTTGTCTTTTTCATTTCTTAAGTTACGCGTACTATCCTCTCGAGCCATAATACGTGCCATTTCTCTTTGTACTTTATGGATTTTCATGGCTGTCATGATAAACATAATGATATTGGCCACAATTATGCCCATAATGGGAGCAAAGAAGTACACCAAACCTGACCAGGTTAACACTGAAAATATTTGGTTAATATTTTAGAAAACTTTTCATTAATTATATATGGTACTTACTATTGATCCAGCAATATTCACCCCCACCAATACCGGGCTTCCAGGCATAAGGTATATCCACACGTTCTTGCATAAACCAAGTACCTATTAGAAATATAATAGGTATGCCCCAAGAATATACCGAATACATGGCAAATCTTTTCTTCTCCTGAAAACGATTAATGCCTCTGGTGCCGCGGAAATTATGCCACAAATCAAAACTAATAACACTTAACCAAAAGAAGGCCGCCATAAAGAAATAATAGGCGGTATAACCTAGAAGTTTTAATAAAATTTTTATATAAATTCCACCAATTATAATAGAAATACTTTACCTATAACTTTACAGGGCAAACCCATTACATCTATATACGCCGACCAGGCATTCAAACACAACATCGTATAGCCTACTATTAGACCAAATAAATAACAGACCAGTGATTTGCCATGCTGATTGCGCAATTCCGGTATGGCCAAATACACTAAAATGGTCAACATCATAAACGGTATGGAGAAGAGCATAGCGTATGCATTTATTATTTTCATTGTTCCATAACCGGGACTTAAATCACAATTGGCTGGATTTAAGTAGAAAGTAGAATTCGTATCATTACCCATAGTGGGTACCATACAATACTGCAATTTATCCAAATACGATTCATCATAGTGGCGGAAAATTGTGCCGTTCTAGGGGGGAGAAAATTTAAATAATGTTATTAAACTAGAAAACTTAGAGCGATATATTTCGGAAGTGAATCTTATATTGGAACTACGAGCAATTATGGTCCGATCCGGAAATAATATCTCAGAATGATTTGTTTATATATTCACGAATTATTTGTGTTTAATTGAATTACGGAGAAAGATTTTATATATGGAAGCTATTAACAATTATGGACTGTCCGGAAAATTTTCGATGAATAATTTTTATATGTACGGAACAAATTTATATTGAATTTTGTTCCGAAATTATTTTTGCTTAATTAATTTTCGGAATTCCAACTTAGTATTGAATATTTGGATCCCAAAGATATCTGGGGTCTACAGAAAATAGGTTTCGAAAAAACAAAAATCAGACGGACGACATAGCTTAATAGACTTCGCTATCTATAAGAAACCATGATATCGATATTTATACGAGCTAAAGGTGATTTTCAGCAAATGCTCAAGGGCTGTTAGAAATTTTACTCGAACCCCCGTTATTTAGAAACCGATTTATCTGATTTTAAATAAGAAACTTCACGAAAGCATGTCTGAATGAATTAATGAAGATTTGGATCCCAATGATAAGTGGGGTCGTCAGAAAATTGATATCAATAAACAGACAGATAGACACATGGTCATATCTTAATTGACTCTAACTATCTCTTATTTGTTAGCTCTTTATAGGGAATTAGGTCAACTAGGTAAGGACCGAACTCTCCGAAATTTGAGGAAGTGTATTATTTATTAGAAAAGATGATTTTTTAACAATTTATTGAAAATTTTCTATGAATAAGAGGGACTATTTAGAGAAAAGGGTCAGTTATGGACGGATTCTCATTAAGTTTTCTAGACAGATTTTAGTTTTTATAAAACTAGGACTTTCAACAGAAGGAAAGACATGGCTAGATTGTCTTAGAATCTAATAAGGACCCAGAATACTTATATTTTTGTGGGTCTCTGGCTACATCTCTTCCATATTATATATTGGTCAGTTATGGACTGATTCTCATTAAGTTTTCTAGACAGATTTTAGTTTTTATAAAACTAGGACTTTCAACAGAAGGCTAGATTGTCATAGAGTCTAATAAGGACCCAGAATACTTATACTTTTGTGGGTCTCTGGCTATATCTCTTCAAATTTTCAGCAGACGGACAGACTTGTATTAGAATCTAATAAAGCTCCAGAATATTTGTACCTTTGTGGAGCTACGACAAAATCACTTCCTATTTTTGTTATATCGAAAAAAAAAACTCCCGAATTTATTCACAACAGAAAAAATTATGATCTTTACTTACCGCAAATATCTGCCAAGCATCATCCGGTTCCTTTTGTGGCTCCAAAGCATACATGGGATTACAAGGTCGAAAATGTACTATAGCATATTGTTTAAATACATTTACAGTCTTCAAAGAACCATCCGATAGTGTCATATTCAACGTTGTCGGCCATTCAAAATGATCATGGGCATCAATGCAAGACGAATCATTTGAACTGTATAGTTTACCAAAAGGACAACAGAAATTAATACAAGGCTTCACTTTACATATACAACCACGTAAATGAGGTGTAACTTTGACTGTCGTAACCAGATCGGTATAGATATGATTGTAAACGGCTATATATTTATGAGGTATTAGGATGCCATCATGTAAATAGGAGCCATTATCAAATCTCTGATCATCGGTAACATTAACGGTGTGAAAGAAAAAACAGGGCGCATGTAAACCACCACGTACGTAATGTTTTTCAAGAGCTGAAGATCTTGACCATATTTCCGGTACAAATATGAATATATAGACTAGAATAATGATGTGCAGACGATTAAGCGTTAAATAAGACATGTCTGTTACGGGATTTAAGCACGAAAATGAAATATTCTGCAAAGTAAAGAAGAAATAAAAATGTGTTATTTTTTTGTTTTGTTCTTTTAAATCCTTCATAAATTTACTGTTATAATTTAATTAAATTTGTTTATCTGTTTTTTATTGCCACACTGGACAATTCCTTGGTGTCTAGTTTTTGTTTTATTTGTACTAAATAATCAGCAGCAGATAAAACACACAAGTTATATGTATATGACCTTGGACTAAATTGTTTATAAAATATATAAATACTTATACACATACATAGTTATACATATATGTGAATATTTTAACAGTTGTTTCAATTCTAATAGAGTATTCAAAATATGCTAAATCGGTCAAACGGAAAATTTATAACAAATTGTACGTTGGTTCCACATGACACCCTAAAACTATAATGGGTATTGATGGGTTACCATATATATGACCAATTTTTATCCAATTTCATCCTTACTTAATCCTTATAAAAAATTAAATATTATCAAAAAAGTCCATTTGCCCAAAATAATGCTAAATATTAAAGTTTTACTATAAATTCATTAAATACTTCATACTTCTCAGAAATTTCAAACAAAAATAAATGTAAATAATTTTTCGCTTGAAAAACTATGTTCACACCTACAAAACTCCTACACTAACCACCACATTTCATTATGTTCTTATATATTTGATTCTACTGCTCATGGTTACAAGTTCTAAGAAGTGTTGCTACCACAAATTCTATATAATTTCCATTTTAATGGAAACTGAAGTGTTTCCTTATCCTATTTTTTGTTCTCTTTCGTATAGTCGTACTTGTGATAATTAACAAGAAATAATTATTAATTATTTTGTTGATAAAAAAAAATTATCGAAATTTTAGCAAAAAAAGAAAACAATATGCTTCTACTTGCGGTGTACAGTGGGACAACTTGCCATTTTGACTTAAGATTCCCTAAGTTGAATTCTGATATATTTTTTGGAATTCACTTAATAGCGTTCCCACTTATTCATTCTTCATAAGCTGTACATTTCCATTAAAATGAATTAAAGAGTTCTACACTTTAAGTCAGTGCTTTCGATGTATTTGGGCTCTTACTCTTTGAGAGTTATACATGTTGAGAGTTAGAGTTTTTCAGATTATCTGCACAAATATTCAATAACAAAATCCCGAGAAGTCAAACATTAACGTCCACACAAATTATATCTCAATTCAAACGTATAGACTAGACTGTTGACTAGATTATAGTCTACACTATAGACTGGGCTATAGTTTGGACTGTAGACTAGACTACAGACTAGACTTAAGTGTAGACTATAGAGTGGACTATAGACTAGACTAAAGACTGGACTATAGATTAGACTATTGACTAGACTATTGACTAGACTATAGACTAGACCATAGACTAGACTATAGACTAGACTATAGACTAGACTATAGACTAGACTATAGACTAGACTAGACTATAGACTAGACTTAGACTAGACTTTAGACTAGACTATAGACTAGACTATAGACTATAGACTAGACTATAGACTAGACTATAGACTAGACTATAGACTAGACTATAGACTAGACTATAGACTAGACTACTAGACTATAGACTAGACTATAGACGACTATAGACTAGACTATAGACTAGACTATAGACTAGACTATAGACTAGACTATAGACTAGACTATAGACTAGACTATAGACTAGACTATAGACTAGACTATAGACTAGACTAGACTATAGACTAGACTATAGACTAGACTATAGACTAGACTATAAACTAGACTATAGAATAGACTATAGAATAGACTAGACTAGACTAGACTATAGACTAGACTAGACTAGACAAGACTAAACTAGACTAGACTAGACTAAACTAGACTAAACTAGACTAGACTATAGATTAGACTATAGACTAGATTATAGACTAGACTATAGACTAGACTATAGACTAGACTATAGACTAGACTATAGACTAGACTATAGACTAGACTATAGACTAGACTATAGACTAGACTATAGACTAGACTATAGACTAGACTATAGACTAGACTATAGACTAGACTATAGACTAGACTATAGACTAGACTATAGACTAGACGATAGACTAGACTATAGACTAGACTATAGACTAGACTATAGACTAGACTATAGACTAGACTATAGACTAGACTAGTAGACTAGACTATAGACTAGACTAGACTAGACTAGACTAGACTATAGACTAGACTATAGACTAGATTATAGACTAGACTATAGACTAGACTATAGACTAGATTATAGACTAGACTATAGACTAGACCATAGACTAGACCATAGACTAGATTAAAGACTAGACTATAGACTAGATTATAGAAAAGACTATAGTCTAGACTATAGGCTAGACTATAGACAAGACTATAGACTAGGCTATAGACTAGACTATAGACTAGACTAGACTATAGACTAGACTATAGACTAGACTATGGACTAGACTATAGACTAGACTATAGACTAGAGTATAGACTAGACTATAGACTAGACTATGGACTAGACTATAGACTAGACTATAGACTAGAGTATAGACTAGACTATAGACTAGACTATAGACTAGACTATAGACTAGACTATAGACTAGACTAGACTATAGACTAGACTATAGACTATAGACTACTATAGACTAGACTATAAACTAGACTGTAGACTAGACTATAGACTAGACTATAGACTAGACTATGGACTAGACTATAGACTAGACTATAGACTAGACTATAGACTAGACCAGACCAGACTAGACTAGACTATAGACTAGACTATAGACTAGACTATAGACTAGACTATAGACTAGACTATAGACTAGACTATAACTAGACTGTAGACTAGACTATAGACTAGACTATAGACTAGACTATGGACTAGACTATAGACTAGACTATAGACTAGACCAGACCAGACTAGACTAGACTATAGACTATAGACTATAGACTATAGACTATAGACTATAGACTATAGACTATAGACTATAGACTATAGACTATAGACTATAGACTACAGACTATAGACTATAGACTATAGACTAGACTAGACCAGACTATAGACTAGACTAGACTAGACTAGACTATACTAGCTAGACTAGACTAGACTAGACTAGACTAGACTAGACTAGACTAGACTAGACTAGACTAGACTAGACTAGACTAGACTAGACAAGACTAGACTAAACTAGACTAGTCTAGACTAGACTAAACTAGACTAAACTAGACTATAGACTAGACTATAGACTAGACTATAGACTAGACTATAGACTAGACTATAGACTAGACTATAGACTAGACTATAGACTAGACTATAGACTAGACTATAGACTAGACTATAGACTAGACTATAGACTAGACTATAGACTAGACTATAGACTAGACTATAGACTAGACTATAGACTAGACTATAGACTAGACTATAGACTAGACTATAGACTAGACTATAGACTAGACTATAGACTAGACTATAGACTAGACTATAGACTAGACTATAGACTAGACTATAGACTAGACTATAGACTAGACTATAGACTAGACTATAGACTAGACTATAGACTAGACTATAGACTAGACTATAGACTAGACTATAGACTAGACTATAGACTAGACTATAGACTAGACTATAGACTAGACTATAGACTAGACTATAGACTAGACTATAGACTAGACTATAGACTAGACTATAGACTAGACTATAGACTAGACTATAGACTAGACTATAGACTAGACTATAGACTAGACTATAGACTAGACTATAGACTAGACTATAGACTAGACTATAGACTAGACTATAGACTAGACTATAGACTAGACTATAGACTAGACTATAGACTAGACTATAGACTAGACTATAGACTAGACTATAGACTAGACTATAGACTAGACTATAGACTAGACTATAGACTAGACTATAGACTAGACTATAGACTAGACTATAGACTAGACTATAGACTAGACTATAGACTAGGACTATAGACTAGACTATAGACTAGACTATAGACTAGACTATAGACTAGACTATAGACTAGACTATAGACTAGACTATAGACTAGACTAGAGACTAGACTATAGACTAGACTATAGACTTAGACTATAGACTAGACTAATAGACTAGACTTATAGACTAGACTATAGACTAGACTATAGACTAGACTATAGACTAGACTATAGACTAGACTATAGACTAGACTATAGACTAGACTATAGACTAGACTATAGACTAGACTATAGACTAGACTATAGACTAGACTATAGACTAGACTATAGACAGACTATAGACTAGACTATAGACTAGACTATAGACTAGACTATAGACTAGACTATAGACTAGACTATAGACTAGACTATAGACTAGACTATAGACTAGACTATAGACTAGACTATAGACTAGACTATAGACTAGACTATAGACTAGACTATAGACTAGACTATAGACTAGACTATAGACTAGACTATAGACCTAGACTATAGACTAGACTATAGACTAGACTATAGACTAGACTATAGACTAGACTATAGACTAGACTATAGACTAGACTATAGACTAGACTATAGACTAGACTATAGACTAGACTATAGACTAGACTATAGACTAGACTATAGACTAGACTATAGACTAACTATAGACTAGACTATAGACTAGACTATAGACTAGACTATAGACTAGACTATAGACTAGACTATAGACTAGACTATAGACTAGACTATAGACTAGACTATAGACTAGACTATAGACTAGACTATAGACTAGACTAATAGAGACTAACTAGACTATATGACTAGACTAGACAAGACTAGACTATAGACTAGAATACTAGACTATAGACTAGACTATAGACTAGACTATAGACTAGACTATAGACTAGACTATAGACTAGACTATATAGACTAGACATAGACTAGACTATAGACGAGACTATAGACTAGACTATAGACTAGACTATAGACTAGACTATAGACTAGACTATAGACTAGACATAGACTAGACTATAGACTAGACTATAGACTAGACTATAGACTAGAC